AGTACAGATATTTTCAAACTTTTAAAATCATGGAACCTGGTTCTCCCATCACAGGTAGTATTGAGTGCAGATGACATTATTCAGACCTTTCTTAAGAAAGGGCTAATGTAAAAAATACATTTATTACATGAATTGATTCAAGGCCTGAAAATGATGATTAGGATAAACATGACTTTTGTCACTCCACTTTAGAAAACTCTCCCGAGTTCTCCTATAATATAAAATGGAAACCACAACTTTAAATGGACTCTCTGAAGCTGGGCACAGTGGATCACACTTGTAATCCCAGCATTTTGGGAGACTGAGGCAGGAGGGTCACTTGAACCTAGGAGTTCATGACCAGCCCAGGCAACACAGCAAGACCCCCATCTGCATGTAAAAAAAAAAAAAAAAAAAAAAAAACAAAAAAAATTACTACAGCGTTATATATAAGATATATGGTGATACTTGCTGTAGTCCCAGCTACATGAGAGGCTGAGGTGGGAGGATCACATGAGCCTGGGAAGTAGAGGCTGCAGTGAGCCATGATCACACCACTGCACTCAAGCCTGGGTGGCAGAATGAGGCTATTTCTCTAAATTTTGTTTTTAAAATGAACTCCCTGATTTTCTATGAATATTGCTTCTGTTTCTTGGCCCCCATATCCATATAAACAGCCCTCTTTAACAGATTCTCCAAGCCTAGACACCTTTCTTCATTTCTCCCTCTCCCTCACCACCTCTTTGCTCATATCCAACCAACTGCCAGTCCCTCCACCTAAGCATTTCTCAAAACTATACAATTATAAGAACTTTGAGAAACAATCTCCTCACCTTCTCCAGTCACCCTCACATATCTCACCCAGAAAGGCCTCCAATTATCTCCCAGCCTCCAGGAAAGGTAAGTGCTCCACCTGCTCCATAATCCACTCTCATCATTGTGGAGCAATGTTTCTAAAACACCTGCCAAAACATGTTACTTCCAGTGGCTTCCCAATGCCCCTTAGAATATAATTCAAGTTTCTTAACTTGGCCTACAATCTCCCTTCCTCTCCAGATTCAATTCTCACCATCTTCCTCCCAATCATTTAAGCTCAGTGATTCTGAAAGCGTGGTCCCTGGGCCAGCAGCATCAGCATCACCTGCAAACTTGTTAGACATGCAAATTCTCAAGCCCCACCCCAAATCTAACAAATCTGATACTCTGGGTCTAGGACTCAGCAATCTCTCTTCTCAGGAGCCCTCCAGGTGATTCTTAGGCCTGCTGAAGTTTGAGAACCGCTGCTCTATCTGTACTGGACTATTTCTGTTCCAATTCCCCTACTTGCCGATGCCCTGACCTCCTTCTGTGAACCTCACCACCCTGTCTCCACTTAATTAACTCTTCCTGGTCATACAATCTGACAAGTTCATGTTCAATCAAGTAATGTAATATGGTGAATCTACCTTGAGGTGTGTTCCAAACTAGAGTTACTGAGGGACTACCAGATATTGATGAAAAATCCTCTGAAGACACTTAAAGTGGAAGATAAATCTGGAAAGAACCTTCCTGGCAAAGTGTGCCCCTCAAGGATTCCCCCATTCACTTGGTGCTTATATAGTGAAATGTGAGCCTGCTGGTACCCTGGTGCTCCTCCTGCTAAATACACTCAGCTCAGATGACTCCTAGCACACCACAGGCTGCACCTGAAGTCCTGATTGGGGGCACCTTCCCCATGGTGGGTTGCAGGAAGTCACCAAACAAGGTATCAGACTTTCACTACCTGACTTCATTATCAAGTGCATCTTCAGAATGAAATTAAGAATTTTATTTAAATTCAGAGATACCTAAATATTTAATAAATAAGTACAAATTTAAAATAATAAAATTTCTAAATAATAGAAGTCACTTCTTAATACAAATCTCTGGTCCTCTAGCTTTTCTCTCTCCTAGGCAGCACAAGACACATTAATGACATGTAGTTGTACCCAGGTTTTAAACAGTGGTTTCTATGGCTTAGGACAATGTTTTCTAGTGTTCTAAAATCCATATCCTCTTTTTAAAAAACAGCTTTATTGCGATATAATCGTAATCTCTTTTGATTTGTTGCTCTTCTTCTCTATCACCACCTCTTTTTCTCGGCAAGATTCACTGATACAAACAATCTTTTTAAATTAAAAATGTAGCGATTGTAAACATGATCAAGATATAAAGTTTGAAAATTTTAAACATCACAGAGGGTCATACAGTAAAAGCAAAGTCTCCTTCCATACTCACTGACCTCCCCACTCTCCATGACCCCAATCTTCTGCTCTCAAAGTAACTACTCTTCAGTTTATGTCTAGATTGTTTACATATATATATACACACACACACACACATATATGTGTATAATATGTAATTTCCCTAATTTTATACCTTAGGATTATACCACATGTATATTCTGCATCCCCCTTAATGGCATTTTGATTATCAGTGGTGTTGGGCTCCCTAGATCTACATACAGTATTGTGTTACTTACTGTTTAAACATATAGCATTGAATTTGGTCTACATTAGCTCTTTGAAAGCCCCACTATACATGTAAGGAAAGAAGGGTCCAGAGGTGGTGATGGGTGATTTCAAAAGATTAAAGAGCCAACTACAAATGGAATTGGATCTTGAATTGAGGCCTTTTGAATTTATCTGTCCTGCTCTTTGAAAGTCAACAAACCTCTTTTACAATACTGATGTACCTGTGGCCTCTTGACCAAGTCAATTTGCTAATTGGCCTATTGCTAAGAGCAGATTTAGATGGTGATACTTGATACAGTGGCCTCCAAAGTTTGGAATTCTTTAATGCTAATTTACCATGCTGGGGATTTGAATTACTGATTATGGTATTCAAATAAAAACTAACCACCTCTAGGGTTTAAAGTTAATGTACACACACACACACACACACACACACTCCTCTGCTTAAAGTGAAGAATTTTTAAACAACTTACATCTAACACAGAACTTCAATCAATTGCCCAAGAATATGCTTCTTTCTTTAGCCCTGTCTTCATGCTATGCTGCAAACACAGTGATAAGAAACATGAGCTCTAGAGTCACCTGATCTGAGTCCACATGGAGGCACTGACACTTCTTAGTTATGTAACCTTAAGTGAATTATTACTTTACCTCTCTAAGCCTCACTTTCCTTCTTTTTAGTCCCATCAAACTTGCAGCAAGCAATTCACTTTACTTCTTTGAAGGTAAGGTTAATAAGAAGTAATGTGACAAGGCATGCATGTGCTGAGTGAAATAATAATGTGACTATTATTATTTCATTATCCACTCCATTTATTTTTTATTCTTCTAATTTTTCTTTCTCCCAAGTCCATATTTTACATCCATCCATCTAATCATATCTGTTGAGCCATTATTAAGCACAAAGTTCTATGGATGGCACAGGAAAACCCAGCTATCAATGGGATGGAGTCCTTCCCACAGGAGCCTACAATCTCAAGCAAAGTTCAGAATTAATTAGTGGTTAATCTTTACTGACTTCATAAAACGTATCAAGCACAGTGCAGAGCACTTGACACTCATTATCACATTTAATTTTAAGCTACCTGTGAGGTGGACGCTCTTTTACAGAAGAGGAATCTGTAGCTTAATAAAGCTGAGTACCTTATCTAAGCTGGATCCAAACTCAGGCAGCCTGACTCCCAAACCCTGCATGCACGTCTACACCACAGCCCAGGCCCCTCAGCTCTGTGTGCCTTCCTAACTTCGATTCCTCCTCTGCTTGCACTCTTTTAACATTAGTCATCTTAACAAGAACTCTTATCTATACAATTCAAGACGTTACACTGTGCTTTTAATACAACCCTTCTTCCATAGCTTTTCTAGAGGCAGCATGGTAGAGGCAGCTCAGTTAAGGGCCCAGATTTTGGAGTCTGCTGCTTGATAGCTGTGTGACCTACAGCAAGCCACATAAGCACTCTGTGCTGCAGGTCTCACCTGTAAAATTGGGTTAAGGCTACCCACACCCCAGAGATTGTGTTGATAATTAAATGTGTTAACACAGGTAAAGGTGTCAGCACAGGCAAAGGACACAGTCAGTACTGCACAAGTGGTGGGCTTCATTATTCATCCTGTAATTATGTATTCACAGTAGAATCATGTATCCCGTAGGTCAGGGACCACCTTTTCTTTTTTTAATACCCCCAGGATGGGCAAATCTTGCTCTCTCAACAAATAGTGTACTCAGTGGAACCCAACGGAACTAATGTTTCTTTCTGTCCGTAAATAAAAATAGATCATGCTTGAAGATGCTACTTTGCCCGAAATGCTTCTTGTCTTCCCCCATCTTCAGTTCCTCCTCCTCCAACCTGGTCTTCATCAGGAGAGGGGAAAGAGCATTTCTTGCCTGGCAGGAACTCAAGACCTAGAAGAAAGAGGTCCTACCCTGCCAAAGAAACGACCTTCCCCTTCATCGCCTCTGCTCCTCTTCCCGTTTCCTGTGTCTTTTCCTTCTTTTCTCCTGGTGTTTCCTTCTCCGGTTAACTCTGGGGGCAGACACAGATATTCACAAGTCCGTCTGGGCAGCACACTCCGAGGTAGGGCACGAAGGTCAGGAGACAGGTTCCCGTGCCCCAAATCTTGGAGAAGATGAGTTAAAGCTCTTCGCTTCGATTACCTTCGCCCTTCCCGTGTCTCGGGAGCAATTCAGCATCACCTCACGTCTTGCCTTGCAGAAGTCCGGAATTCCAGTCCTGAACTGGAGCTCCCCCTTCCCGGCCCCTCCGGTTTCCCTCTCAGGCCATCTGAGGAACTGAGGTAGGATTTAGCGGGTTTTAGGAGCAAACCCCCTCCACAACTTGGTCCTGGGCTTCCTCTCCGTTGAGCCTTGACCTTCGCCCAAAAAACAAGGACTCGTGCACGTGAAGCTGGCCTTGAACCCGGGCTGCGGGGCTGGACGGTACTCGTCCGCGCCCTGCTGCCGCACCTGGGCCGCTTACCAGAGTGGGAGGCGCGGGCGGGAGGGGCCGAGCCGGCCCCAATCCGTAGGCGAGGCGGAACCGCCCGCCGCGCCTCCGGAAGCTCTCGGCGCTGCGCGTCGCCTCTGAGCACCCGAGACCATGGGGAAGCTGGTGGCGCTGGTCCTGCTGGGGGTCGGCCTGTCCTTAGTCGGGGAGATGTTCCTGGCGTTTAGGTGAGTGGCATCTTGACAGGGCGTCCTTGACTCTCTTTCTCTCCTCTTCCAAGTGAGGTCAGGGGCTGCCTGGCGCCCCCTTCCTAGCGAGTAGGAAAGAGCAGCTTTGGAACCTCACTCCTCCATCGCACCCAGCAAACTGCCCCTTGAGACTCGCTTATGGGGAAAGTGAGCTACTTGCGTTTTCAAAGACTGCCGAGCCGACTTACTCCCATTTATTTTTTGAAGGTTATGACCCCCCTTTACTTTCTGAAGATCATGACCCCCTTTTACTTTCTGAACGTCATGACCCTTTTCCCAGCTCACCCTCAACATTCCGCTTGGGAAAAAAGGATGTCCATTGGAAACGCTGGACTGGGGAGAGGATCAGGCTACCAGTTGGATGTTTATGGCTGACTGAGACATTGCCCGGGTCTAGCTAACCACACAGAAGTACTGAGTTATGGAACCTATCCTAGATTTAAAGAACTGGCCAGATAGCAGGGCAAACCAGCTGAAACCTGCAGTTGGTAACTGGCATTTTGTAGGCATTTGACTTTTTGAAGTGGAAGATACAATGGTGGTAGCCAGCCTAGAAATGTCTCAGGAAAAGTCAATACTGGGCTAGAAAGAAGAATCTTTAAGTGGTAATGTACATTCATGAGTGGATCGAAAGCCTCTGCTTGCTTTCAGTTGTCTTTGAGTGTTTATGTATTTCTCTTAGTAGAAGCTGGCCTTCTCAGAGGATTATGTCTAGAATCTGTTGAGGTGCCTGATGCCTATTAGTAATACTTCCAGTTTGAGAGTTTTATTGTTACATTTGTTCCCAGTGCAACCGCATGGAGAATCATAAAATAATAGTAATAATAATAAAATAGATCTAAGGGGTATTTTTTAAATAAATGACTGTAAGGTAAGTATCAAGTCTTCCTGAATATACTTTAATACAAATTTTAAATTATCCCTGATATTAGAAGAATGTGGAAACATTCCATTTCACTCTGGAAACAAGAAAATTGTATTGAAAAATAAATTGGCCAATTGTTTAAATTGTGGTTGGTTTAATGAATTTACATACTTGAAAAGTAAGTCAGCATAAAATTTAAAAATTAAAGCAAAAGTGACAGAGTTTGACTATTAGCACACCCTGTTGAATTTTGGGAAAGCAGTTTGGAAGGAGAAGTTCAAAGGGCAAGACTGTAGGGGATTAAGTGCAGATTTATAACAGACGATACTTTAGAAAATTAAGTAGGACTATTTTGTGCATTTAAATTAGTGATATTGTTCAATTACTCATACTATTAAATAGTGTCTTTTATTTGGGCAGCAGAATGTTTTCCATGTAGAATCATATTATAGTTTTTCAGCAATAACTGAGTAAGGTTAGCTGATATAGGTAAAATACCCATATAATGTCTACATTATGTAAATAAACATAAAAGGAGGTACCTACTTGTTATATCATTCATAAATTATGATAAAGATAGTTAACCAACACGAAGATGATTGAAGTCCACATTTAAACGTACATTTTGAACGCTGTGCCTTGATTTCCAGGATTGGGTTTTATCTTCTACAGAGAAAGGATGAGTGCCTCTCGAGAAGTGCAGCCAGTAGAACCTGAAAACTGCCGCCTTATTGAGGAACTTGGTATGTATGTGACAGTACCAAGAGGAGCCAGCACAGCTTCTTTGTCTCCATCCACCTGACTGAGCCCCACCAGCTCATTTAATTACCTGTCACTACTTAAGCCCTCCCAGTGGGACATCTGCCCCGTCCACTCTGCCTCATGCAAGGTCTTTAGGGGTGTCCTAAATGACATCCTTTGTGGCTTTTTCTCAGCACATTTCCTTACTGACATCTCTCCACATTACCTAAAGAATGTCATTGACCACACCCTGGTTTTCCCCTCACTGAATGCTTCTCCTTTCCTGTCTGTGATATTTCACTCTTCTCCTTGTCTTCTGTTACCTTCTTTTTTTTTCTTCCTTCCTTCTTTCCTTCCTCCCTCCCTTTCCTTGTTGTCATTCCTGGCTTCAAGTGTTATTTTTTTCAAAATTTATCTACAAGTACCAAGAGTAATATGACTTAGCCCCTCCCCTCAAGAACCTCAGACCCGGCTGGCACAGTGGCTCACACCTATAATCCCAGCACTTAGGAGTCCGAGGGGGGCGGATCATGAGGTCAGGAGATTGAGACCATCCTGGCCAACATGGTGAAACCCCATCTCTACTAAAAATACAATTAACCGGGCATGGTGGCGGCGGGTGCGTGTCGTCCCAGCTGCTCGGAAGGCTGAGGCAGGAGAATCACTTGAACCAGGGAGTCATCGGAGGTTGCAGTGAGCCGAGATCGCGCCACTGCACTCCAGCCTGGCGACAGAGCGAGACTTTGTCTTTAAAAAAAAAAAAAAGAAGGAACCTCACAGCCTACCTACCTTCTTTTAAAAAAATTCACCAAAATTCCACGGCCCAGTCCCTAACCTTACAAACTGCAGCCCTTCTTTTTTAGTCAGTTAAAGGGTAGCTCCATCTCAAACTCTCCCTAAGCTGAAATCTATTTTACATTTCTGTCCTTTTCTCTCTCATCCTCCCACCCACAACCAGCTCTGCCTCTAGACATTTTCTGTGTATGGTACCCTCATTCTCAAAAGATTCAGTTCAAAATCCAGGAACCATTGTTCCCCGCTTGTCCCTCATGCTTCTACGTGAGACATGGGCTAATCTCACCTACTAGCTAATGCCACAGCTGCTTATTTGGGCTCCACACCTCCAATTCTTCCTGACATTGCTAACAGAAAAATAAAATAAAACCAGGCTAGATTGTGTTCCCTGTTCTGAGAATATGTTCTTTCACTTTCTCACCTTTGCTTATGAAATTCTCTCCAAACTTACTTGTTCCTCCGTCTCTACTTGCTGAAATCAGCTGCTGAATTCTCACTGCACTCTGAAGCTCCGATTCACTTATGACACCTGCTACATGCCTTATATTATAGCTGGCAGTGTTCTCTCTTTCACTATCAGATTGTAAACTCCCTAGGGCCAAGGACTGTGACTTATTTATTAGAATGTGATGGGATAGCTTATTTTGGGATATGATTTTCTATTTTATTGCTATATTAAAAAATACAGAAAAAGTGCCCTTTTAATTTGAGTTTTCTGCCTTTTTTGCCTCTCAATTTCTAAAAAATAAAGTAATCTGAACCTTGCACTCCCTAGTCTTAGAGGTGGTTTGTGCTAGCAGCTGGAAAGCAGAAGAAACCAAAGAAACTCCCTTTCCTGAATTGTTTTTAAGAACCTGAGCCCCTTCAAGGGATTCTGATGGAGAAGGGATATGAATATGTGGATATCTTTGAATAATAGGGACCCTTACCCCACTGGCTGACAGCATTCTGGGAGAGGAGCAGGACCTCAGAAGGAATGGTTGCAAGGTATCTTTAGGGATGCTGGACCCTGTGTTCCAGCTAAGGTAAAGACCTTGTGTCAATGTATGACATGGAAGTAGCAGAATTGTCTAAATAAAAGGGACCAGTAACTGGCAATGAATAATTTGATGATACATAGTATAGAATGAATGCCAGATGGCCTTTCCAAAACATTCTGCTTAGGTTTAGAGCCTACCACCTAAAATGATTTCATAACCCTAACAGAGAAACCCAGTAATGACTCAGATTGGATTTTCCATCAACTTAGCGGAATGGGGTATCAGAGTGATTTATTTAATTTTAAAAATAAGAAAATGTGACGTTTACTCATTTGTTTACTGTTTTGTGGTGTAGTAGTATTCATATTCACTATACAAATAACTCTCAAAATATATAAGCCTGCAAATAATTAAGAGGTGTAATTAGATTAGATGATTGGTAAGGTCTAGTCTGACTCTTGAATTGTATCACTCAACTAGATTTGAGAAGGTAAAATTAGAGTTAATATTGTAAGTCTTAGGTCAATGTTCTGATTTTCCAAATATTTTGAAGAAAATGACTTAGTTGGAAGCAGGCTGGGAGCAGAAGAAAAAAATGCCATGTTACTTCTCATGTCTATTGGCATATGTTTGGTGAACTAAACAAGTTAGAATGATGATGGGTCATGCGTCAGTAGGACAATACTGGTATATATCTTTTGAAAAAGCTGCTTTATCAAAGGCTTGGTGACTATGAGCAGCCTGTTGAGTCCTTTACAAACATCTACATCATCCTCATAACCAATTTGTAAAGTGGGTGCTGCTATCTATGCTTTGCAGATTAGGAAATTGACATACAGAAGAATTAAGTTGTTGTTTGCTCAATGGTCTGGAACTAGGGGGTGATGGGCTTAGCTTATGAGCCAAGACCATTTCCTTCTATGCCTTTGTACTCTCTGTTGTGTAACACCACCTTTCTTATCTACTGACAACACATTTTTTATTATGGAAGCTTCAGGAAAGTATTACAACAGCAGGAAAACAGAAAATCTGAGATGCGAACAGCTGAAATATTACTAGGTATAGGTTAATCAAAACAAGGCGGGCTAGATATTTAAATTAAGATAACTGATAAGATAATACTTACAAGTCACAACTAGTTGAAGAGTAGAGGCTTTATAAAGCCATGAAAAGCTGCTGAAGGATTTTAGGTAGGGTATAGTAGGTTGTAACAGAGCTGGAGAAAAATTCTTATTTGTATTTTCAAGACCCAGATTTTTGAGGTTTATTTTATTGGCGGAAGAAACTCTTATTTTGTTTTTCTTCCCCAGTATTTTTTTCTGGGCAGAAAAGTTGAAAGATGAAATATCTTTCTCCAGAAATCATATCTCATAGATCTTTTTGTATTACGTTCATCTTTTTCTCCAAGGCTTTGAGGGTCAAGGATTGTTTTAACCAGGATGTTATCTGGCTGCCCTTGGCATCTAATCAAAGCTGCACTTGAAATATGAATACTTCAGTAGGGCTTTCACTGGGCAGGATTATTGAGTAGATGGCCTGTGTATTTAATACCTACCTGCCTTCCCTTCCACTCCTTTCCATTCTATAGCTTCCCATGTCTCCAAGATATGCTTCTACACCATAGTAGGTTCCATGTGTTTTCTTAACTGACTATCAGAAACTTCTCTCCAAGATGTGAAGTGACGATAATAAAATTAACTGATAGTAATGTTTTGATGTGACCCTTTATCAGAGTGCCTGTAGGGGATGACTGGAGAAATGAAGAAAAGAGTAAAGAAATGAAGTTATGCCAAGTAGTAGTAGGGTTGACAGGCTAAGAAGCAGTAGGCACCTATTCATAAGTCTGATTTTAGACTTAGCACTGGGGTTTTAATGATAGTTGTGCATAGACTAATAAGTGTGTGGGAAAGTCTCAGAGGAAGGTATCCTGGAGGCTTTTGCTCCCACAGGTGCCATTGTTGCTGAGATGCATGGGGCCTGTCATGCAGGCACAGTGTAGGTGGGAAGAAGAGGTGGTGACACTGTGCAATCTTGTGTGGTAATTCTTCTCCAGTGCTGAGTGCAAAGCACCAGCTTTCCCATGCTCTGGATGGAGCAAGTAAATTAAGACAGGCACAACACGTCTGAAAAATGCCCACTCTGTTTTAGGTGAGTTATTGAAGTAGGTTTATGCTGTCAGAGGAGACATGTAAAATTGTATTTGGAAGAGAAGAGGAGCCAAACACAATTCAGGATATCTTGGACTCAGAAATCATCACCCACTTTTCAATAGTTGAGCCTCAATACAAGACAAAGTTCAAAAAACAAAAAGTGTTTATTTCTTTTTTGAACCAGCCAGCTTTATTAAGAGCTTCTGCAGTGAAAAGGCAAGTATTATGTTGAGTATAAGGATACAACACTGAATAAAACCCAGTTCTTGCCTTCAGAAAGCAGACCATCTAGTAGGAAATTAACAAGTAAACAGAGGGGTGCAGCCTAGTATGAAAAAGATCATGGTAGACATAGTCACAGATGACCATATTAATACATAAAATGGATGCTGAAACCAGGAAAGTTTGCATAGGTTGAGAAGGTGGCCCCAAACCTCCAGGAGCCTGTGGCCTTGGCCAAGTAGAGGTAAGGTTAGGATGGGAAAGGTCTGAGTGTTGCAAGGAGAAAGCAACATATGCACAGACATGCTGGTGAATGAGTCTGGCCCATTTCACAAATTACTCACAGGACAGTAGTAAGTACCACAGCACAGCTGCAATGTAGAGTAGAGAGTGGGGCCACAGTAACTGAGACTGGAGCCAAGATGTTTGGGATCTAGACCAAAGAGCTTGGTATTTATACTGTCAGCCCTAGTGGGCCTCTGGGAGGTTTTAAGCAGGGGATAACAAGGTCAACTTTAAATTTTAAAATATGACTCTCAGCAGTGCAGAGAATGGGTTCAGGGAAGCAAAGCTGAGTTATTGGGAAACTATTGTAGAAATCCAAGAGGAAGTCCTGGAGCTTGAATGACTGGTGATCAGTTGGATTTGGAAATTAAGGAAAAGGAACGCATCAAAGGTAACTCCAAGCTTCCTGCTCTAGGTGTTTGTGGAATGGAGGCACCATTCATTGAAGTAGAAATATAGAAAATAGAGCAGATTCGAAGCAGAAACTTTCAGATCAGTTTGGGACCTGTGGAATATGAAAAATAAAAGACCCAGGTAGAAATGTCCAACATGCAGGTTCATACAAAGGTCTGGAACTTGGAAGAAAGCTTTGAGCTTGATTTAGAGATTGGGGATTAAAGAGCATCCAGGTGGAAACTGAAGCCATCTGCCACGACCCATGTGGGAGTAGAGTGCATCATGTGGGGAAAATGGATGCTTTGCCATGAGAAAGAGCCATGGTCAGACAGAGCCTGGAAAATATCCACCTATAGGACAGAGAGGGGAATGAGATTAAGGTACAGGGAAACCAATAGGGGAGTGCAGAGAAGAAGGAGAAACACTTGAAAATAACCAACAAATATTCAATGCAATTTTTTAAATGACTTTATTCAGCTTGCTGGATTCTTCTGATGTCTATGTCATTTTGTGTGGAAATAGCTATCAAGGTACCATATATAGGTAAATCTTGATTAACTGGAATACTTAGGAAATGGGAAGTTCTGGTTAATTTGATTTTCATATTTCTAGGTGGGGATTACTTTCAACCTTCAGTATACTGAATAAAATAAAATCTTTCTCAACTTCTAAGTGCCTATTGTTCACCATTTTATTGATTTCAGTTTGCATCTTCTTTGACTTTTCTGCAATTTTCTTTTTCATATTTTCCCCTATACTTCCCCCATTGCCTTTTGACACTCTAGTAACCCACTACTCTAGGTAACCATTTCCCTGCATGTTCCAATAACTATGACTGTGTAGCAAACCACCCCAAAACTTAGTGACTTAAAACAACCACCACTATTTTGCTCAATAATATGCAATGTTGACAGGGCACAGTGTAGGCAGTCCACTCTGTTTCATTTACATCAGCTAGAATGACTCAAAGGCTGGGAACTAGAGTCATTTCTAGCTCCTATGGCCTGAGCTAAAGACAATGCTGACTCTCTTTCCACTTTGGGTGATCCCTTTGTACTCTTTCCTCTGTAGTTTTACAATAGCCAGACTTTTTACATTTTGATCCAGAGTTGCCAAGGTGCATATCTTAAGAAATAGAGAGAGAGAGAGCCAGTGGCAGCTATGACTATGACTTAGCCTAGGATGTTATGTGGCATTGCGTTCATCTTATTCTATTTGTCAAGGCAGTTACAAAGTTCTACCCAGCTTCAACAGGAGAGAATATAGACTTTACCTCTTGCTGGAAGAGTCTGAACATCACATTTTAAGAACAAGTGGCGATGATACATATTGGTTCTGACATATTTGTAGACTATAGTTTGCCACACTAGATAATCTCACTTCTGTCTACTTGGAACCACATCATATGCAGATCTCTATTCCTACTAGAAGCCATGACAGCTCCTTTTTCATCTTGTTCTCAGTCAAAACTTACTTATTATATGTCTCTTTCCATAGAAAAAAATGCTGAAAACTAGCTCTTAATGAGAAAAAAGATCTGACTAAACTTTCATATTAATTCTCACTAATCTTTCATATTCATTTATACTCAATATTTTATTACTCAATAATTTCCCAATATAATTGTATAATGATAGTGTTTTAGGCTTCACGTTGGAAGAGAAGGAATGCTTGGCAGAGAGGCCTGTAATAAAAGACCTTCACGATTATGACATTCTAGATTTTATTATTGAGTCTATAGACCAGCCTTCTATGGGGAATAAAGCTGAATCTCTCAGGACATGCCCTGGAAATTGTTACTTAAAGAGTAAATCTAGGATATGAGTTTATTTTCTAGATATTTGCCTTTTTCTCCTGAAAATGGGATTCTAAAAAATGATTTAGTATTTGAGGAGTCTGATTCAAGTTTTACTGTAGAGTAGCATGCCTGTGAGATTCCCAAAAGTTAATATAGTTTCCCAAGTAAATGGTTGAACAAGTCGACAGTTTCCAAAAGAAGTTTCCAAAAGATATTTGTAGTTTGGACTGTGAGATGTATTTTTTTGAGCATTCATATATGCATTTTTCTGATTCTACCCTTCTTTTGCAGAAAATGGCTCTGAAGATATTGATATACTTCCTAGTGGGCTGGCTTTTATCTCCAGTGTGAGTATTTTCCATGCTGCTCTGATGCTCACGTCAATAGCTGTATAGACAGTACATTAATGTTGTCCACTGGAGCTGCCAGATGGATCCCTACACTCTCATCCCACCTATGGGTAAACCAGTCAACTAAAAAAACCAAAACAGGATTCTGGAGGGCTAATTAGAACACCACAGGAATGCCCAGCTTTGACTGCCTCATGGTGGGCAACTCCCTGTGGGTAGTGGCATACTCAGTAGGGTCTTGATAAATGTGTATTGATTTCCATTCGATTCCTACACTGGTCTCCAGATCGGTCCTATTGCTATCCATTCTCATCATTGCCCTATTTGACTGGGCTTCCGCTTCTAATTGTGAATGGTAGTTCACTCATGATTGGCTCTCTGTTTGTTTGTTAATGGTGTATAGGAATGCTTGTGATTTTTGCACATTGATTTTGTATCCTGAGACTTTGCTGAAGTTGCTTATCAGTTTAAGGAGATTTTGGACCCGGATGATGGGGTTTTCTAAATATACAATCATGTCATATGCAAACAAAGACAATTTGACATCCTCTTTTCCTAATTGAATACACTTTATTTCTTTCTCTTGCCTGATTGCCCTGGCCAGAATTTCCAACACTATGTTGAATAGGAGTGCTGAGAGAAGGTATCCTTGTTTTGTGCCAATTTTCAAAGGGAATGCTTCCAGTTTTTGCCTATTTAGTATGATATTGGCTGTGGGTTTGTCATAAATAGCTCTTATTATTTTGAGCTATGTACTATCAATACCTAGTTTATTGAGAATTTTTAGCATGAAGGGCTGTTGAATTTTGTTGAAGGCCTTTTCTGCATCTATTGAGATAATCATGTGGTTTTTGTTGTTGGTTCTGTTTATGTGATGGATTACATTTATTGATTTGCGTATGTTGAACCAGCCTTGCATCCCAGGGATGAAGCTGACTTGATTGTGGTGGATAAGCTTTTCGATGTGTTGCTGGATTCGGTTTGCCAGTATTTTTTTGAGGATTTTCTCAGCGCTGTTCATCAGGGATATTGGCCTAAAATTATCTTTTTTTGGTGTGTCTCTGTCATGCTTTGGTATCAGGATGATGCTAGCCTTATAAAATGAATTAGGGAGGATTCCCTCTATTTCTATTGATTGGAATAGTTTCAGAAGGAATCGTACCAGCCCCTCTTTGTACCTCTGGTAGAATTCGTCTGTGAATCCATCTGGTCCTGGACTTTTTCTGGTTGGTAGGCTATTAATTATTGCCTCAATTTCAGAACCTGTTATTGGTCTATTCAGAGATTCAACTTTTTCCTGCTTTAATCTTGGGAGGGTGGATGTGTCCAGGAATTTATCCACTTCTTCTAGATTTTCTAGTTTATTTGTGTAGAGGTGGTTTTAGTATTCTCTGATGGTAGTTTGTATTTCTGTGGGATCAGTGGTGATATCCCCTTTATCATTTTTTACTGCATCTATTTGATTCATCTCTCGTTTCTTCTTTATTAGTCTTGCTAGTGGTCTATTTTGTTGATTTTTTTTTTTTTTTTTCAAAAAAGCAGCTCTTGGATTCACTGATTTTTTGAAGGGTGGATTCATTGATTTTTTGAAGGGTTTTTCATGTCTCTATCTCCTTCAGTTCTACTCTAATCTTAGTTATTTCTTGCCTTCTGGTAGCTTTTGAATTTGTTTGCTCTTGCTTCTGTAGTTCTTTTAGTTGCGATGTTAGGGTGTCGATTTTAGATCTTTCCTGCTTCCTCTTGTGGGCATTTAGTGCTATACATTTCCCTCTACACACTGCTTTAAATGTGTTCCAGAGATTCTGGTACATTGTGTCTTTGTTGTCATTGGTGTCAAAGAAAATCTTTATTTCTGCCTTCATTTTGTTATTTAACCAATAGTCATTCAGGAACAGGTTGTTCAGTTTACATGTAGTTGTGTGGTTTTGACTGAGTTTCTTAATCTGGAGTTCTAATTTGGTTGCACTGTGGTCTGAGAGACAGTTCGTGATTTCTGTTATTTTGCGTTTGCTAAGGGATGTTTTACTTCCAATTATGAGGTCAATTTTAGAATAAGTGTGATATGGTGCTGAGAAGAATGTATATTCTGTTGATTTGGGGTGGAGAGTTCTATAGATATCTGTTAGGTCCACTTGGTCCTGAGCTGAGTTCAAGTCCTGGATATCCTTATTAACTTTCTGTCTCATTCATCTGTCTAATATTGACTGTGGGGTGTTAAAGTCTCCCATTATTATTGTATGGGAGTATAATTCTCTTGGCAGGTCTCTAAGGACTTGCTTTATGAATCTGGGTGCTCCTGTATTGGATGCATGTATATTTAGGATAGTTGGCTCTTCTTGTTGAATTGATCCCTTTACCATTATGTAATGGCCTTCTTTGTCTCTTTTGAGCTTTGTTAGTTTAAAGTCTGTTTTATCAGAGACTAGGATCACAACTCCTGTTTTTGTTTGTTTGTTTGTTTTGTTTTTGCTTTTTATTTCCTTGGTAGATCTTCCTCCATCCCTTTATTTTGAGCCTATATGTGTCTTTGCACATGAGATGGGTCTCCTGAATACAGCACACCGATGAGTCTTGACTCTATCCAATTTACCAGTCTATGTCTTTTAATTGGAGCATTCAGCCCATTTACATTTAAGGTTAATTTTGTTATGTGTGAATTTGGTCCTGTCATTATGATGTTAGCTGGTTATTTTGCTCATTAATTGATGCAGTTTCTTCATAGCATCAGTAATCTTTACAATTTGGTATATTTTTGCAGTGGCTGGTACCGGTTGTTCCTTTCCATGTTTAGTGCTTCCTTCAGGAGCTCTTGTAAGGCAGGACTGGTGGTGACAAAAATCTCTCAGCATTTGCTTGTCTGCAAAATATTTTATTTCTCCTTCACTTATGAAGCTTAGCTTGGCTGGATATGAAATTCTGGGTTGAAAATTCTTTTCTTTAAGAATGTTGAATATTGGCCCTCACTCAATTCTGGCTTGCAGGATTTCTGCCGAGAGATCTGCTGTTAGTCTGAATGGGTTTCCCTTTGTGGGTAACCCGACCTTTCTCTCTGGTTGCCCTTAACATTTTTTCCTTCATTTCAACCTTGGTGAATCTGACAATTATATGTCTTGGGGTTGCTCTTCTCGAGGAGTATCTTTGTGGTATTCTCTGTATTTCCTGAATTTGAATGTTGGCCTGACTTGCTAGATTGGGGAAGTTCTCCTGGATAATATCCTGAAGAGTGTTTTCTAACTTGGACCCATTCTCCCCGTCACTTTCAGGAATACCAATCAAATGTAGATTTGATCTTTTCACATAGTCCCATATTTCTTAGAGGCTTTGTTCTTTTCTTTTCACTCTTTCGTCTCTAATCTTGTCATCTTACTTTATTTCATTAATTTGATCTTCAATCACTGATATCCTTTCTTCCACTTGATCAAATTGGCTATTGAAGCTTGTGCATGCATCAGAAAGTTCTCATGCCATGGTTTTCAGCTCCATCAGGTCATTTAAGATCTTCCCTACACTGTTTATTCTAGTTATCCACTTGTCTAACCTTTTTCAAGGGTTTTAGCTTCCTTGCAATGGGTTAGAACATGCTCCTTTAGCTTGGAGAAGTTTGTTATTACTGACCTTCTGAAGCCTACTTCTGTTAACTCATCAAACTCATTCTTCATCCAGTTTTGTTCCTTTGCTGGAGAGGAGCTGTGATTCTTTGGAGGTGAAGAGGCACTCTGGGTTTTGGAATTTTCAGCTTTTTTGCTCTGGTTTCTCCCCATATTTGTGGTTTTATCTACCTTTGGTCTTTGATGTTGCTGACCTACAGATGGGGTTTTTGGTGTAGATGTGCTTTTTGTTGATGTTGATACTATTCCTTTCTGTTTGTTAGTTTTCCATCTAACAGTCGGGCCCCTCAGCTGCAGGTCTGTTGGAGTTTGCTGGATGTCCACTCCAGACCCTGTTTGCCTGGAAATCACCAGCGGAGGCTGCAGAACAGCAAATATTGATGCCTGGTTTTTCTTCTGGAAGCTTCGTCCCAGAGGGGCACCCACCTGTATGAGGTGTCTGTCAGCCCCTAGTGGAAGGTGTCTCCCAGTCAGGCTACACAGGTGTCAGGGACCCACTTGAGGAGGCAGTCTGTCTGTTCTCAGAGCTCAAATGCTGTGCTGGGAGAACCACTACTCTCTTCAGAGTTGTCAGTCAGGGACGTTTAGGTCTGCTGAAGCTGTCTGCTGCCTTTTGTTCTGATATGCCCTGCTCACAGAGGTGGAATCTATAGCAAGGCAGTAGGCCTTGTTGAGCTGTGGTGGAATCTGCCCAGTTCAAGCTTCCTGGCCTCTTTGTTTACACTGTGAGCACAAAACCACCTACTCAAGCCTCAGCAATGGTGGACGCCCCTCCCCTTGCCAAGCTGCAGCATCACAGCTTGATCTCAGACTGCTGCGCTAGCAGCGAGCAAGGCTCCGTGGGTGTAGGACCCACCAAGCCAGGCATGGGAGGGAAGTTCCAGGTCTGCTAGTTGCGAAGACTGTGGGAAAAGCACAGTATTTGGGAAGGAGCATACCGTTCCTCCAGGTACAGACTGTCACGGCTTCCCTTGGCTAAGAAAGGGAAATCTGCTGGCCCCTTGTGCTTCCCAGGTGAGGCGACGCCCTGCCCTGCTTTGGCTTGCCCTCCATGGGCTGCACCCACTGTCCAACCAGTCCCAATGAGATGGACCAGGTACCTCAGCTGGAAATGCAGAAATCACCCGTCTTCTATGTTGATCTTGCTGGGAGCTGCAGACCGGAGGTGTTCCTATTTAGCTATCTTGGGAGCCTCCTTCCAGTTTAAATTTTCAATGTTATGCTAAATACACCACTAAAAGTGATGATTCTATAGCTAGGAGATTTCTTTGCTGTTGTGAAATAATGTTTGTCCTTCGTACTGTATATTTTCTTCTTTTTTTTTTTTAATTTTCACTGGAACTAAAAGTTCTGAATCATTACTATACAGGAAGTATATATTTTGATCACAAGTTTATGAGAAATGTTAACATGAAGTTTTTAATAATGAATCTCCTTTTGTAAATGAACAACTTATAGGATAAGGATTATGTTATTTGCTTGTTTCTAATCCTTCTGCACTATAATAAATTCGGGACCTTGTTCTTTTGGTTTCTCCTTTTACCCTTTCTTGCCATCCTAGAAGATGTTTGAAAGTTGCTGATTTGGACAATAATTCTGTGCAATAGATATTTCTAGTCTATTTAGGGATGGCAAACAGGGTATTTTTCTCCCCTGTCTTGGGACTTGACACGCTTATCTTTGACTCCAAGATTACTCCCTTCGTCACACTTTGCCAGCTAACTCCTACTTCTTTGTGAGGGTTCATTGCGGTGGCACTTTACTTCCTCAGCAGAGTCTTCCCTGGCACACTCTTGTGGAGTGAGGTGCCTCTTCAATGTTCCCTCTTGAATATTCGCCTGAGTTAAGCTCTTATAGACCACACCATACTTATGTACTTGCTCTAGATTTCAAGATCCTTGAACTCAAGACTTTGGAGCATGCATTGACATGCCCAACACCTAACATACTACCAGGCGTGTGCAAGTCCTCGAATATTTACTGAGTGCATGTGGTGATGGATGAGGATAGTGGAAGAGTTCATTGATTGTCCACATATACCTGTAGTTTGTTGGGAAAAATAAGATTCCTGCATGTCTCGATGATGATTTTCACCATTTTCACCAGTGAATGGTATGAAAAGAATTGCTTACAGTCATTAGCACATAGTTGGTTTGCTGCCACAAATTCCTACCTAACTGCTTTACACAGAAAACTAGGTGAATGTGAAGCCATTTATCAGAAGCGTTTCTTTGATCATCACACTTAATCCAGACCAAGCTTGTTTGCAGTGCCCCACCCTTATCTCTTTATCAGATTATTTTATTTCTGTAACATCCAGTCTTTGCATTAGCTGTCTATGCTCTACCTTCCCCCAAGCTACCAAGGTACTTGCCAGTGTGTTCTGTCTTGAGCTGCCTTCCTGAGCAATATTGTTTACTTCCAAACCTTTCTGTATGTGTGGGAGAGAAGCTGAACAATAAATGATCTGAGTGATTTAGGCAAATCACTCATCTAGGCCTCATTTCCCTCATGTGAAAGGGAAGATGTGAGATTAAATGCCCCTAATATATTTATATATATAATTATTATATATATTTGATTTTTAACGTATATATATAATTTTTTTCTCCAGTGCTACTATTATCTGAGCCATTGAGTTTGGTGACAAATTGGTTATGTGGGAAAGAGTGGATTGAAAATTGAATTTTATGGTCCAATGTTGGGGAGCATAGTGATGTCCTTAGCTGAGAAGAATAGATAGAAATGAGAGGATGGATTTGAGGGGAGAATGTTGATTTTGTTTTTGACTATTTGATTTTGAGCTGCCCTTTGGGAGGAAGTTGGGAGTGCAAGCTGGAGTTACAGAGTTACAAATAAATGTGCAGACTTGAAAGTCCTTGTTATAAAGGAAATACCTGAATCTTTATGTATAAGATCTGCAAGGAAAGAGTATAGAGTGAGAAGGGAGGAGGGATGGATTTAAAACAGAAAGAGGCAGAAATCTAAGAGTCAGGAAGAGGAGCAGGATTTCTATCTAGGAACTCTACTTTTGACTTTTTGATAAGAAAGAAGAAGGTATATTGTAGTGTCGAATGCCACAGAGAAACAGATAAGAAGTAGAAAAGTTATCAAAATAAAGTAATTTGGAGACCATTATGTGATCTTTATAATGGTAGTTCTACAAACTGGTGGGTGTAGAATGCTAACTTCAGGGAATTGAGAGTTGGAGCAGTTCACAATAGGCAACAAGATCAGGTGATGTTTCTAAGAAATTTGATGGTGAGGGGAAGAGAGAGAAATGCATATATGAAGAGGCAGTAAAGTTAGAAAAATATTGATTTCAGGGAAGGAAACCTTGTAATTTTTCAGGCCAAAGAAGAAGCTGTTAGTGAAAAATGAGTGGTAAAGCAAGAGAGAGAAGGTGTAATCTCTAGAGACAGACCCTAGAGAACAGGGAACCAAGAAAGCAGGTAAAGGATGTAACCTAAGAACAGAGGAGGGACACTCCTTCCTTGAGAAAAGAGGGAGAAAGGAAGAGAATGAATAAAACTAAGAAGAATTACTGGGACAGAAAGGAAAGAATTATAGGAAATTCATGTTAAATGACATGATATCTTCAGAGAAGTAGTAAGTAAAGTCATCCACTCATAATAAAGAGGAAGAAAGTATGGGCTCTAGAACAGTGGTCCCAATCTTTTGGGCACCAGGGACCAGTTTCATGGAAGACAATTTTTTCCACAGTTCATGGATGGGGAGCAGGGCATGGTCAAGACAAAACTGTTCTACCTCAGATCATCAGGCATTAGATTCTCATAAGGAGCATCCAACCTAGATCCCTCGCAGGCTCAGTTCACAATAGAGTTTGCACTCCTATGAGAATCTAATGCCACTGCTGATCTTACAGAAGGTGGAGCTCAGGCGGTAATGCTTACTCATCCACAGCTTACCTCCTGTTGTGTGGCCCAGTTCCTTACAGACTACGGACTGGTACCAGTCTGTGGCACAGGGGTTGGGGAACCCTACTCTAGAAGATAATGAAATAAATTTAGAAAGGAGACATGAGGAAATCGAATAGATTGCCTATCATAATGAGCCAAAAAAATCAATAAACAGTACTAAACGTCTGGCTGAAGTTGGGGTGGTGACTTTGTAGTGGAGTTTTTCAACCTGATTTTAAACTTGCCCTATATAAGAACTAGACCAAAGCAAAGGGAGTTGGAACATAATGTGATAAGGAAGCAAAGGGTGTGGCTATTGATGATGACAGAATTATGGTCTGGAAGCAGAAGTTTGTGGCTAGGGACATGCCAATCCCTTCTCCAGATGTGCTGACTTAAGGAGAATAAAGAGGGAACATTGCCTCCTCTGATGAGCTTCAGTAGTGCCAGTGTTGTCTGGGAAAAGCCAGGTTTCCTCCAGACAACATTGGGCATATGATTTGGGCATACAAGGACTGTTCTAAAAAAAAGTTTGAAGATGTAACTGGGGTTGTTCAGAAAAGGTTGACTACCTCAAGAGGGAGCAGTGGAAGAGCCAGTAATAGTATTATAAGTGTATGTGTATGTGTGTGTAGAAAGGACAGGGAGAGGGAAAGAGGCAGAAAGACAAGGTGAAATAGGAAAGACAGAATTGCAATAGACTGTAAAAGAAGATAAAGGTAGCAGAGAAGATATAAAGTTATTGATATTGATATATATCCGATCCAGTGATAGATGGGGAACATGGAGAAGAAGTGGACTGTTTTGTAACTGGTGTAGAATAAACCAACCCCAAGGTTTGTCACAGTGGACTCAGATGCAGCAAAGGCTTCATGCATTCAGGATGCCTATTGTTGATTGATAGCTACCTGATCCTAACAGTAGAAAGGACCACTGCCCAAGTTACTGGAATAAACTTTTTGTGATATATGAGTAAAGCATTCATGTCAGAATTTTCAGACATACCTACAGGAACAAAATAGGTCAAAAATAGTCAACTCTATAAGACTGGTATCCTTATGTTGATTCTTGGCCAGCTCTACTGTTTGCCACTACATGATATAATCAATGTAGGAATGGGAATGATACAATTAAACTATACACCCCTTCTCTCTGCTTTGAGGAAGGTTAGTTATAGAATACCAGTACTGGAAATAATCTTATAATCATGTATTTGAACTTCTTCATTTTATAGATGAGGAATGTGAGGTACAGGCATGTAAAGGAATTCACACAAAGTAACAGCCTAGTCTCTTCCGTTATATTTTTTGGCTTAATTCCTTTTCTCTAAATTAAAAACTCTTCCTTATCTTGAATATGGTTCTTTCTGTGTTTATAGCCAATGTTTAGATGACATCAGTAACACCCCAGATCAGATCATGGAAACAGCTGACAGAGTGAAAAAGCCCAGAAATCTAAATGAAATTTAGAACTTTGAACATTTTTATTTGGCTTTGAGATTTTAAATTCCATATGAAAATATTGTTTTGATATGTATATGTGTGCACACTTGTTCTTTATTTTTAAAAGGGATTAAAATATCCAGGCCTGCCAAACTTTGCACCAGATGAGCCAGGAAAAATCTTCTTGATGGATCTGAATGAACAAAATCCAAGGGCACAAGCACTAGAAATCAGTGGTGGATTTGACAAAGAATTATTTAATCCACATGGGATCAGTATTTTCATCGACAAAGGTAAAGCCTGTATGCTTAGGGATAAGGGGGAAATGAGGGAAATAGAAACCATTTATCTCCAGCCCCTCAATATTTATGTAATAGAAAGAGAGAGGACGGTATTTTACCATACACATATGTTTTTGTAAAATGATAGATAGGTATAAAACATTGTAACCATTGCATTAAAGAAGGAACATTAGTATTTTTGGCCCTATGTGGTCTCCTCCTCTTCCTTCTATTCACTTGTCTTCTTGTTTGACTGTCACAACCTGTTTGAATAGTATTCTCAGAAATCTAACATATAAACTAAAGACCCTTTAGTTTAGTTGTCACTAAAGACAACTGTGAGACATTAAAAAACATAACATAAAGGGAAAAAAAAAACAAATTAGACTCATCAAAGTTGAAAGCTTTTGTGCTTCAAAAGACACCATCAAGAAAGTGAAAAACAACCCAAAGAATGAGAGATATTTGTAAATCATATATTAGATGAGAGACTTGTATTCAGACAATATAAATAATTCTTACAACTTAACAACAAAACACAAATCATATAATTTTAAAATGGACAAAGTATCTACCTAGATAGACATTTCTCCTAAGATACACAAAGGCCTGTAAGCACATGAAAGATGTTCATCATCCTTAGTCATTAGGAAAATACAGATCAAAACCAGAATGAGATACTATTTCAGATAGTATCTGAATGAGATACTATTCAGTATCAGAATGAGATACTATTTCAATTATGGTGCTAATTAAAAAGACAGACAATAACAAATGTTGGCAAGGATGTATAAAAATTGGAACCCTCTTACTTTGCCAGTGGGATTGTGAAATAATGTAACCACTTTGGGAAGCAGTTTTGCATTTCCTCAACATTTTAAACGTAGAGTTACCATACAATCCAGCAACTCTGCACCTTGGTGCATGCTCAAGAGAATTGAAAACATATCCATGCAAAACCTGTACACAAATGTTCATAGCAGCATTACTGCTAATAAAAAAGGTGGAAATAACCCAAATGTCTATCAACTGATGAATTCACAAATAAGATGTGATAGGCATTTATACAATAGAACACTATTTGGCAATAAAAAGAAATGAACTACTCATGCATTGCTATAATATGGATGAAGCTTGTAAATATAATGCCAACTGAAAGAATTTAGTCACTAAAAGCCACATATTATGTAATTCCATATATATGAAGTGTTCAGAATAGGTGAATTCGCAGACAGAAAAATTGTTGACAGGAGCCAGAGGAGTGGGGAAGAAGGAATGACAGCTAATAAGTAGGTGATTTCTTTTTGGGTGATGGAAATGTTCTGAAACTAGATAGTGGTTATGGTTGCACAACCCTGTGAATATACTAAAACATACTGAAGTTTACATTTTAAAAGTCTGAATTCAATGGTGTGTGAATTATATCTCAAAAATATATTATAAAAAACATAACAGTTATTAACATGCCATATATGCTTTAAAAACAACAGTTTCCAATATTATTTTTGACTTCTTCACAGTTCATAGTTTCAAACATCTAATTTTAAAATATTTGTGGGTCTATACAGCATGAAGAAAAGTAAGAACAGGGAAACCTCACTAACAGTGACCACATGAAAGGAGGGCCAAATTGAAATGCTAGAATTCCATGAAATCTTATATACACTTTTTATTTGCTTAGCAAGCTCTGCTTTAAAAGATAATTGAATCTAACAATTTTTCATTGGTTTATAATATATAAACTATTTTCATTTATAATGGTGTCTTTACTTCCCAAAATAAAATCCTGAGCCCAACCTTGACACTTCCTCTCCCTGGCCCTTTCGATCAACTCATTATAATGTTTTGTTTGATGTATCTCTCCAATATCTCTCCCGTCTGAAATATTTGTCCACCTCTCCCCATCCTCACTGCCACCAGCAGTCCAAGGGCCCAGCATGTCTTCCCTGATTCTGCATGGGCCCCCAACTGTACCTTCCTTCTCATACCACTTCAATTCATTGTCATAGTAAGGATTGCTTTTTATGCAAATCTGATTCTGTCCCTCTTTTCATCAAATTTTCCATGTTGTTCCATCACTCTGAGGATAAACCCCAAATCTCCAGAATGGCCTGTGTTCCTGGGTGCTTCCCCTGTACATTCTGGCATCTGTATGCTCTCCAGTTTCACTGGAAACCATTCTCCCCCAGACTCTCTGGACCAGCCACACTGGATTTCTTTTCATTCGATGAAATGTCTCATGCCTCGGGATCTTTACATCTGCTGTTCCCTCTGCCTGGAATGTCTTTGTGCCACTTCTGGCTCACTCTTTGTCATCATTGAAGCCTCAGCTTAAATATCATCTTCTCAGGGAAGCCTTCCCACCATCTTGTTCCAGGTTGTGTACCTTTCTATATTTCTTCTCAATGTACCTCTTTTTAAAAATCATTCATTACAGGGGTAACTAACTTTTTTTATTTTTTGAGATGAAGTTTTGCTTGTCACCCAAGCTGGAGTGCAGTGGCACAATCTCAGCTCACTGCAACCTCCGCCTCCCGGGTTCAAGCTTTTCTCCTGCCTCAGCCTCCCAAGTAGCTGGGATTACAGGCATGCGCCACCGTGCCGGCTAATTTTTTGTATTTTTAGTAGAGGCAGGGTTTCACCATGTTGACCAGGCTAGTCTCAAACTCCTGATCTCAGGGGATCCACCTGCCTTGGCCTCCCAAACTGTTAGGATTATAGGCGTGAGCCACCACTCCCAGCCTACAGAGATAACTATTTTTTTTTTTAATGTTAAAGGATACCAATTTTCTTTCCCTCTCCTGCTCTTGCTCTATAGCAAGTTCCTAAACTTAACTGTTACTCTTCAAATGAATGACACTCTATGAAGAACATGTCTCCCAACTGTAGTATTCTTTGTTTTAATTTATTTAATAATTTTTCCTCCTTGTTTTCCTCTCTCAAATATAATCACCATAAAAGCATATGTGATTTGTCCATTGCTGGATTCTGAGAGTCTAGAATGTATCTGATGCACAGTAGGTACTCTCTGAATGCATATTAGATGAATAAATAAATGAACCCTATAGGACAGGCAGAGCACATAATAATATTCAACTTTATAGATGCATACAATGAAGTTTAGAGGAATACAGTAAAGTGTGACTTCACTTCTGCAGTTAGTAAATGGCTGATCCAGAACTCAGACAGAAGAGGTCTCACTTCTAATCCTGTGTCTTACTAAGGTGAGATTAGGGCTCTATTTAAATAATTTTAAAACCATAACTGTTTTGCCTCACACTGTATAAGACATAAGATTCTTCATTGGAGATGGTATAATAAGTGATTAGATTTACCTGAAACGATTTCATTGCATGGGGTAGTATTAGAGGTAGAGGTAGAGGTGGAGTTGGGGCTTTTTTTCTTTTTTTGTTGCTGTTGTGTTTTTTTTTTTTTTTTTGAGATGGGACACGTTTACACAATAACATTCAGTCATATAATCAGGCTTCCATAAGTTGAGTATATTATGATTCACAGCTTATCTTATTTGTTTTGTCATCTCCCTTAATTGTGTGTTTAATTCATAAGGCCAAAATATTACACATAGAAATAGAGATGGAATGAGGAGATGAAGAAGAAAAGTATTCTCACTAAGTATATCTTATTTGGAAAGAGGGATTCAGTAGATGCACTAGAAGAAATGAAACCAGGGCAGCACATATGATTGTTCACTACTGTGTCTAGCAAAAGACTGAAGGTCCGTGTTGGGGCTGAAATCCAACCCATGTTCTGTTTGCCAAGCCCTGAGCCTTGGAACAGAGCTGGATCAGACCAGAAGGAAGATTTCATCTGTGAGCAAGCACCTTTCCTTAATGTGCATCAAAGTGCCCAGTGTGTTTCAGAGGTCCTGGTTATGAATTTTGCATCTCAGGGTTTGGGCTTGTTCCATCACGTGCTTAAAAACTCCATCTGGGAAAGGAATAGGGAAGATGAATACAGATCAAGTCCTACAGTGGGAGGATGGGGCCAGACCCTTTAAAACTCCAGAGCTCGTCAAACCTAGAACTCCTGATAAGTCAGAAGACAGCACTCTCAGAGGCCAAATTACTACCCTCAATCCTGTTCACAGCAGTTCACATTCCAGTTGAAATGGGTAGGTGACATTTCTGAGGTGGGTACTACCTGGAATTAGTTTGTTTTATCTTGCATTCGTATTTACATGCCGTGTCCATTGGGCTCACTAAATATTGTTATGTTGGCTTGTGTCAGAAATTCATTGTCTAGCTGGGAAATGTTGCTTATTTTAAGGTATTTACACTGCCCTGACATTTACTCAGCTTCTGTTGCAATGCAGATAATTATTGCACACACACAACGTCTCAGCAAAGTTTTGTTTGCTTGCACTCACTTTTCTTGCTGAAGGGCCGTCTGGGGAACCACATTCCTGTTTATGCATCATTATAGTTCTGTAGGCTCCTGTTAGGCAGGATATGCATATAAGAGTGAAGTGACTATGGCAAAACATCTTGGCTCTGCCACTTTGTGGTGATGACATTGCTGATGGGTCATTCGCCTCCTGAGCTTCAATTTCCTCAATTAAATCTGGATTCTGGTATTTGTCTGACTTACCTATCAGATAGACTGTGAGAGTCAAATGCAAGATGTATGAAGAAAACTTTTGGAAGTGACCAAGTTTTAAAACAAGTCTAATATTAGTTGTGATAGAGGTAACTTACTTGGAAATTATGCCTTTTTTCCATGTAGACCATACAGTGTATCTTTATGTTGTGAATCATCCCCACATGAAGTCCACCGTGGAGATATTTAAATTTGAGGAACAACAACGTTCTCTGGTATACCTGAAAACTATAAAACACGAACTTCTCAAAAGGTATGGAATGAAAGTATTATGCAGTTCTATTTATTTTGCACCTCTGCTGTGTGCTTTGTTTTCTTTGGTTCAGCAGGCTTTCTTAAACTTTTGTTTTGAAGTTGTTTTAGATTTTTTTCTAAAGCTTTCTAATGATTCCCATGGTGACTCTTCCCAGCACCTCACTAGAAATTGCCTGTTAGGTATTGAATATGCCTTTATTTTCCAGCATTTTGAAAGCATTTTAATCCTATAAAGGTGCTCAATTAGATTCGCAGCTCTAATTCCATCCCCTTTACCACAGCAACTCAATACCTACTATCGGTCTCTGTTTAAACACCTACACCCTTTTTTGGTTGTCCTGGTAGGCTGTGTTCCGTGAGCCTCGCCCACCGGGTGTTATAACCAACCTCCAGAGGAGCCACTTCTTTGTTTAATTACAGCTTTAAAGTAGAATCTTTTAAAAGCCCGTGGGCACTTATAAAAAATACATTTGTTAAGCATCAACTATGTGCCAGGCACTATGCTAGAATACTTAATTTAACTTAATTCTCACAAAGCCTTTAATAATAGGCATGGGTAAACTAAGACTTAGAGAAGGTTTGGGTTAGGTAACTTGCCCAAGTTACACAGTTTGTAAGTGGCAGAAACAGGATGTAAACCTATATCCATCTGAATTCAAAGCTGAGCTCTCAGTTGCAATGAACATCTTTCTTCCTGCATTCATTAAAATAACAGGCTTTTCAGTGGACAGGCTGCCTGTTTAAAGGCTGTAGCAAACAATAAAGAATTCATCTTTTATCAAATGGGCTTAACACTAAAAAAACTGACTCCAAAACAGTAAACTATTTCATGGGATGGAAGAATAGGAAAAGAAAAGAAAGTTCATCTTCTCTCCTTTGCTCTCTTTCTCAACATCATGTGTTAATTTCTCCCCATAGAATATGAGGGAAACAAATGCAGAGGGTAGAAGTAAGAGTGGTTGAAGTTATTGAACTCTGCTCCTAATGCACTGTGCTGGGTTCTGAGGCCATAGTGGAGAACAGGACTTCCACAGGGTTGCTGGGAAACTGTGTCAAGTCACTTAATTGGTGCCTCAATTTATTGAGCAAAATGGGGGTTCTCATTTGCCTGACTTACATAACTGGTGGATTGTGAGGATCAACTGCATTAGCATAGGATCTCACAGGAACAGTCTCCCAGAAAGTGCAGCCTGAGGGCACACCTGATATGTGGCCACTTCATTAGGGAGTACAATCCCAGGAAGCAGACTTAAGAAACCAGTGTGAGGCAAGGAAGGGAGAATGTTATGGGTTGAATTTTGTGTCCCCCTGCCCTCCCTGCTCTGCTCCCCCGCCAAAAAATATGTTAAAATCCCAACCACCACTTCCTCAGAAGGTGACACTATTTGGAAATGGAGTCATTGCAGATGTAATTAGTAAAGATAAAATCATGCTGAAATAGAGTACCCTTAATACAGTAGAACTGGTGTCCTTGCAAGAAGACAGGCAGATATACAGGGAGAATGTAATGTGAAGATGGATACTGACATTGGAGTGATGTATCTACAAGCCAAGGAATGCCTGGGACTACTGGAATGTCTTGCTGGAAGAGGCAAGGAAGGATCCTTCCCTAGAACCTTCAGAGATAACATGGCCCTACCAACAATGTGGTTTTGGATTTCTAGCCTCCAAAACTGTGAGGCAATACATTTCTGGTGTTTAAGCCACTGAGTTTGTGGTTCTTTGCTGTGCCAGCCCTAGGAAACACACAGTGAGGGAGGTACAGCAAAGGCGTCATTAAGCCAACCACTGCTAAGTGCAACTGACTGCTTGAAATCATGGGCTTATCCTCCAGTAATCAACGCAAGCTGCATCTCAGGACAATCTGGTCGAGGAGAAAAAGGGAGAAGGGTTTATCCACTGGCCCCATCTCCTGTTAGTCAAAGGTTTGCCTCAAGAGGCCTTCATTCTCCCACATTCTTGGTTGTTGTGCACATGCAAGTCTAGTTTTGTGGTATCCTATGACTCGATGTCAACATGAAGTCTGGAAGTGGGAGGCAAGAGGGCCACAGCAGACATGAGCTGAGACACTGCTAGGCTGCCCCTGTGGGAAGTATGTCAGACCTGTGCAGAACTGGTTGAAATAATAGCAGCTGGAACAAGGCAGGTGAGGCTATGAGGATCTAAAGAGGAGCCTGAGGGTACGTACACTGGCACAGGCATTGATAAGCACTTACAAGGGGGCAGAACAGAGAGCTACAGAAACAAATTATGAGGCACTTTAACCTAATTTATGGTGTCAGGCAATACTTTTTGGAGTAAGGAATGCTTAAGCTGAGATGCAAAAGGTGAGTAGCCCGGTGACTTCGGGAAAGTCATTATATATCAAAACCTCAAAGTATTTCCTGATTCACCCAAATTTTCCTCCCTAAAATTTAATCTAAAAATGTTTAAGCATTATTTTTTCAAGTCACTTTTTTCCTTTCAAAAATAAAAATGACTTTATTGTTCTTACTGATTGTAAGAACAAGACTTGCTCCATTTTAAAATGTCAATGATATTGAAGAACGTAAGAAAGAATATCACTCATAATTCCATCTACACAGAGAAAATATAAAGGTCAAGATGAACTGGGTTATGCTCTGATAACAGGACAGCAAAACCCTAACATCCTGATGGCTCAAAACTGCCAAGGTTTGTTTTGTTTGCTCATACATGCTATGTATCCAGTGTAGGTTATTTAGGAACTCAGTTTCATATTATCCTCATTCAGGGCCCTAGGAGGACCACAGTCTCTATCATTACTGTGGGAACATGGGGGAAACATGGTGAAGCAAGCACTGGTTCTTAAAATCTTCCATCTACAAGCCACTCACCTCATTTCATTTCATTTCATTTCATTTCACTGGCCAAAGCAAGTCACATGGCTGTGCCTAACTGCAAGGGGATGGGGAGTGTAATTCCTGAAGGAGGATAACCATAGCTATCAGTGAACTGCACTACAACTGTCACAGATAACCATGATCAACATGTACAAGTCAACAGATTTTGGAGTTTGAGATTTATTTGTGAATTTATTTCTTTTCACTGACTTCTGTGAAAGGGAAGAGTGAGAAAATAATAAATGGCTAAAGAAAACCCATGAGGGCAATGCAGAATCATGACTTTCTATGGAATTCCTTAATCCATACTAGTTCATGTATCCTTTTTCAAATTGATGAACATATTGGTCTATGTAGAGATGAGTGATTTTGACAAGGATAAAGGATATTTAAATAACTCATGGGTCTCTTTTTCCACCTCTCTTTCACTTTAGTGTGAATGACATTGTGGTACTTGGACCAGAACAGTTCTATGCCACCAGAGACCACTATTTTACCAACCCCTTCCTGTCATTATTTGAGATGATCTTGGATCTTCGCTGGACTTATGTTCTTTTCTACAGCCCAAGAGAGGTTAAAGTGGTGGCCAAAGGATTTTGTAGTGCCAATGGGATCGCAGTCTCAGCAGACCAGAAGTAAGCTCTTGTATGTATTTTTCTATCCTTTGCCCTTGACTTTTTGGTGGACTCCTTTCCTTACGAGGTAGTTACTTCCTTACTTAGGCTTACATAGTGAATATATGTGTGGAGGGATCAGTTGTGGCCAGGATTTGCACTAAATCTGTGATCCTAAGCAATCCATTTGTTTCCTTGGACTTCAGGTTCTTCCTAGTTAAAGGAGGGACGTGGACTTAAGCATAAAAGGACCTCATTCCAAATTTTTACATAACTCTTGAAACACACTTTCCTAACCCACTAAAAAGGAAGATAAATGAGCAATACTTCTGCCCCTTATGAGACTAGAAAGTATTTGACCACTTATGCTAAGTTCAGTTACACAAAAGCTCTTAGGAGAGAGGGAAGGCTACCTTAGATTGGGCATAGGGATTGTAGAAGTTTCAGACTTACTGACTTACAACAGCAGACTATTCAATGAGAAAACACTATTTTAAACAGCATGAAATTTTATGAGAAAACACTTTTTAAAAGTGTTTAAAAATTGAAGGTTTTTTTAAATAAAGAGAAGTACCTTGAATATTAACATGTGTATTTGAGATAATGAACAGAGATGATCCCTGTAGAAAACACCTTTCAGTGTCCTTCCTCTTTTCAAATATTGTGATTGAATTTTATGGTCATTTGATACTTCTTTTCAAGCACTAGTTTTTAGAAGTATATATACTTTTGGCCTTATAGGAGATTCACTTACTTTCATTCAATTTAAGGAAAAAGTTGTGACTTTGAAGTAATAAGATTGAGCCTATATATGTAATGTAGAAACACCAGTTTCATTATGGTCATAACTCATATTCAAAGCCTGTTTAAAGCACTTCAAGAATATTAAAAATACTACTCCATTATCTTATTTAACTGTGGTTTAGAAAAGGATTGCAGTTGTACTTTGAAGGAATGTGAATTTTTATACCTCTTCTCCAAAATAAAAGTGAGTGTTGTCTCTCATTACCACTTGCTTAAATGTAAATGTCATTTACTTCAAAGGTATGTCTATGTAGCTGATGTAGCAGCTAAGAACATTCACATAATGGAAAAACATGATAACTGGGATTTAACTCAACTGAAGGTAAGAGTACCCTGTCTGGCCCACACAATCTGACTTCTTACCTTAGTCCCATACTTGACCCAGGAATGTGCCCCTTGAATGAGGAAAACACGGCTGTTTGAGAGCAATGCCAGTGAGATTATGCATGCGTTTCTAAAATACAGAAGCAAAGCCCCCTAAAAATACCAATTTTAGGTGCCAGAAGGAGCTGTAGGGGTTGTGGGGATGAATAGGGAAGAAAGCAGAGAATTGTTGAGACAATGTCTTCACTGCTCCCTCTTTGTTGTAAGGTGATACAGTTGGGCACCTTAGTAGATAACCTGACTGTCGATCCTGCCACAGGAGACATTTTGGCAGGATGCCATCCTAATCCTATGAAGCTGCTGATCTATAACCCTGAGGACCCTCCAGGATCAGAAGTAAGTTCCTATGCCTCTCTGAGCTCACAGGCAAAGCTGCAAGAACAAATTTGTTGGGGTGACTAGAATTTAAGCCAGTTGTATGTGGTGTTATAGAACTAAAGAAATTCTACATATGAGAAAACTAAAGCTTTTGACAGGTAGGGAGATAAGGTTCGTTAACTCTTTTAGACCACCATTAACTCTTCAGTAACTCTTGCTATTGGGAATAATGGGAAAACATAAGCTCAATTATTCATATTGACCCAGATTGCCATATCATGTTTCCAATCAGGAGATAGTCTCTGAGCAGGTCTTGCAGTTAGACAGAGAGTTATATATGGTACCATCTTCTTTCACACAGTTCAACATGATGCTCAGATAAAAGGATTTAAATAACTGTCATCTCAAAATAAAATGAGTTTTTGCCTGCAAGTTCTAACCTGTATGATGGTGTTGAAAATTGTCTTATTTTCAAGATATCATTTATGTTATTTTAAAATATCTCTTCTAAAACAATAGCATAATCCATTGAATTTTCTACATTAAAAACAACATTATAAGATAGTACATTTTCTATGGCATTAAGGTTAACAATTTAAAAATCTTTAATGAATTTATATATAGTTATAAATTCTAGGCACACATACTCAGAAATTTATTCACAAAAATTTATTGAGTACCTATGTTGTGTCACACATTGTTCTTATGCTTAGGATATATCAGAAAAAGTATACAGAGATCCCTGATCTGAAGAAAGGGGGACAAACAATGAACAATAAGCATAAGAAATAAGTAAATTACATAGTAACTTTGAAGATGGCAAATTCTATGGGAAAAAAGGCTCAGCAGAGTAAAGGGGATCAGGATTACTATATTCAGGAGGATGGGCAAGTCCTACTACTAAAGTCAGAGATCAGGGTAGGCCTCATTGAGAAAGTACAGTTTGAAAAAAATTAAAATGTGTGAATCCATATTTGGGGATTTGGGAAAATGAAATTCAAATTCAAACCCGGTAATTGGTCTAGTGGGTAAATTAGCACATACAGTTATTTCTACTTCCAATATTGCTGTTTTTCAGTTTAAAATATGATTTTTTCTTTTTTTATTAATGTATTAGTCACAGCTTCTTAAAAAGAACACAAGAAATGTAAAAAGAAACACAAGTCCAGCCTAAGCCTAGAACCAGAATTGTTACCTTAAACTAGGAAGCAATCCTTGCCTCAGATATATACCCCTAAGAGTGATAGACAAAACTTTCCTTCAAAAGCTCAACCACAATGTCTGCCTTAAGGAAATGAAATATGATACATAGGATTATTGGAAAATTATTTAGGATCTTTTTCATATCTCTATTTTCAAGTTGAATTATTTTTAAAATTTTAGATAAGACTTTTTTGTCACAATTATGACACCCTTTACTTTCGGTTGAATCTCATGTTTTCTACATGAAATCAAAGCTTAAGTATTTTTGTGTAACAAACCTGAGATGAAGGATCTCCCTTAAGACAAAAAAAAAAAGAACAAACTCAATTCTAATAAGAGATATCAATATAGACTCATACCTCATAAATTTCTAATTGTTTTCCTTTAATTCCTATCGTATTTTGTTTGAGTGAACTTCATCCAGGCTATTTGGAAGCCTGAGTGCTTAAATATATACTGATTAGCAAAGTTAAGTGTATTAATCCTGGGATCAATAACAGTACTAGGCAGTGATGTGTCAGATGGAATTCCAAAGTAGTATCCATTATTTATGCTTTCTAGCCACTTTGCAGATGTGAAGGGGCTCCAGTTGTGATGATTGCCATCCCATCAGGTTGGGTTGACTGGATAACTGGTTGTTTCTTCATTATTTTGTCTTGTTTCTCTCCCCATACTGTCAAAGGTAAGATTCTTCCCACAGAGGGATGACCGCTATCCACTTGAGAACTAAATAAGAGCATCCACTGGGTCTTACCTCCTTCTGTAAGGGATGCCTGCACTATAAATATTGTGTAAGTCATCCCTGAGGAATTTGGCTAATGTCAGAAAGCCAGTTCACTTTGGTGCATAGATATCTTTATGACATTAGTACTTTCATCAGAAGAAGAACAAGTTATTGAAGATATACAGATTTTAGCTTCTGATTTCTGAAAAATAGATTCATCCTGGAATGTTTGGGAAGGACGACATCATGAAACAGCTGTTTACTCACATAATATACTAATAAGTGATTTTTTCTTAACAGGTACTTCGCATCCAGAATGTTTTGTCTGAGAAACCCAGGGTGAGCACCGTGTATGCCAACAATGGCTCTGTGCTTCAGGGCACCTCTGTGGCTTCCGTGTACCATGGGAAAATTCTCATAGGCACTGTATTTCACAAAACTCTGTATTGTGAGCTCTAGACGCTAGATGGTTAAAAAAAAAAAAAAAAAGTCTACATATTTGGTAAAAGTAAGCTGATAATTGTATAAGTGGAACTGCAAGTAAATAGCAAACAACAACCAGTGAGTGTGGCTTTTCTTATGGATAGAAGTAAAGGAGCAGACAGAGATTCCATGATAGCCATCAAATTGCAAGTCAGGTTAATGACAGTCCAACAAGAAGCCAAACTTTACAGCTCTTTGTTAGCAGCCCCAGTATTCTTTCTACAATAAAACATGTGGACGATGTCCAGTGAGGTCTCCAACTCACCTAGAGGTCCTTGGTAACTGGGTCCAAGTTTCTTCCTACAGTTTTGATGTTCTGGGTCTCCTACAGTCCAGACCAAGAGAAAAGCTAATGTTCACGTATTTACAACCCCTGTTCTCTCCCACAAGTTGTGCTGGGCATAGACTGTTAATTAAGTGTTCCAGTCTGCAGATAAAGCAAGAATTAGCATCATGAGAACTTGCATTCTCCCCGGGTACTGACACATAGGAAATCGGGTTCTGAGAAATCTGACAGATGGGCCTCAGAGGCTACCTTAGGGCAGACGGGGCTTATCTGTAATAGGCTGTTATTTGTATTGATGCTTGTATCTAAAGTACAGTTGGCCCTCTGTAACTGTGAGTTCTACATCCGTGGATTCGACCAACCAGAGATTAAAAATATTTGGAAAAAAAATGGATGGTTGCATCTGTACTGAACATGTACAAACTTTTTTTTGGTAATTAATCCCTAAACAACACAGTACAACACATATTTCCATCATATTTACACGATATTAGGTATTATAAGTTATCTAGATATTACCTACATAGGCGAATGTACATAGATCATATGCAAATACTATGCCATTTTATATTAGGAACTTGAGCATTCATGGATGTTGGTATCCATCAGAGTCCTGGAATCAATCCTCCTCCTCCTGGAATCAATCCTATTGAGGGACAACTGTTTTGCTAACCTACTGGGCTCTGAATCTTAGATGAAGCCTTAAGGCAGTTGTCTTTGACTGCTTTTAGCCTGCTCTTCTGGTTAATTCAATAAACACTTATTAAGCAATCTCCAGTAAATTTGGCCCTAAGGAATCTGAAATGAGTAGAATGGTTCTGGCCTAATGTACTATTGTAAAGACCAACCTTAAACTTAGTTTGACGAGAATGAATAGAAGTGTCCTTTTTTGGTCCAAAACCAGTACAACTTTTAGCAAACAAACCATTAATGAAAGTAAGAGCACCCAAGCACCTCCCTTCCCTGTTTGTGACTTTTATTCGGGAGTGGTTTGTTGATGCTTTTTCTCTTTTGGGGATAGAGATTTGGGGAGACCAGTTTACATCCTTACCTTGCTCAGTTATATGTAAGTTTGCTGAAAAGTTTTGCAGGGTAAAATTCTCCCTTTTTCCCCTTGTAACCCATTGTGATTTTGACTATAAGACTTTATAGTTTTCATTGCTTCAAAGAGGAATAAACATTCAGCAGAATGCTATAGTCAATTATCAGATTTTAAATTTCAAAAGCCTAGCTATCAAGAGAACACAGAAAAAAAAATAAAGACATAATTTAAGAAAATAAGTAGAATCAGTTTTGAAGAATATAATAGTCTTTGTTTTAGTCCCTAACCCTCATATTTACTATATTAGATAATGTTTACCAGACTAGGGGAGAATAAAGAGAGATAGGAAAAGACAAAGATAATTTAGATGCTGGTGAGTTCCTAAGAATTGATCCTGCTCTGCCTTCTCCTCAGGCCAAGTTAGAAAGGCTGGGGGATAAAACCCCTCAGGAAATTTGGGTGATCTGATTGCTGAGGGACTAATGTGTCCTTTCCCTGGGAGGGCCTGGGAAAGTCACAAAGCCCTAGGGATTCTCTGCGCTCAGCCTGATGAAAAAACAGAGAAGAAATGCTAGTGTGATTTACTGGGGATGGCATCACACCTGCACTTGAACTTGGCGCAGAAGCAAATTCCCATGTGCACAGAGGGTAATGGGGGTTAGCAGAGAAAGAACTGATAGACTTAAAAAGGTTTCGCTGTCTGGAAAAAGAAAATAAGTAGTCATTTGATTCAAATGGAGACCGAAGTTTAGACGGTAACATCAAAGACCAGCTGTCTCCCATGATGCTTTAGCTCTCCCTCCTGGATTTTAGACTCCCGGGATTAGGAGGGGGCCTTGGAATTGCTTTATATATTGATTTGTGCTTCCAAACAATGTGTGGGGACTCAAAAATACAATTACATGAGGCTTTGGAAAATAATAAGTTCTGATACACTTTATGGTTTTAGCTTTATCAGAATTGGAACAGGATAGAGTGGAAAGGACTTAAAGTCTTTTGCTAATGGACATGTGATTACTATCTTTTATTGCTTGTTCTATGGCTAAGACCAATGGGTTATTAAGTTGGCCCTCTCCTGGAAATGCCAGTGGAAGATCCAGCATAATCTCTTTTACATTTCACCCCTGCTCTTGCTCCAAGTAGGTCACTCTCAACCTTCAGCTACTGGGATCCCCTTACTCAGTGTGTCCTCTCTTTGGGAGAGGCCCTGGCAAGATGGTTGAAGCTTGGATTCCTCCTGGAGTAGGCAATTTACCCATTCTTTCCAAAGGATAGGGTTGCTGATTGTCCCACTATCATCCTCTCTTTGCCTTGTTATCTCCCTTCAATAAGTTTTTTCTCCCCTTCATAGGGAGGCACAGGTTTACCAACAGGCCTGCAGCCTAGACAGTTATCTCAACCAACTTTCCGTTTGTGTAAGCACTCCCAATCTTTATCTATGTTGAGCCTCTTCCTTCATTTAGCTTGGGAAGGAGAAGAATCACTCCTCACAATAAATGCTGTATTTTGATAATTAATTCTCTTCTCTTCCCCAGTCTTTCTGCTTAATTATCAGAGACATGAATTGGGAATACAAGGGTGAGGGTTAGGGGTAGGTGAACTCTTCCAGGAGCCACAAACAAGCTTTGGTTGTGATATTTGACTTCAAGTATTTTCAGCTATTTTTAGAATGTGGGGTACTTCATGCTTTGTTGTTTTTATCTTTGAGCCCTTCGATGCTGATTCTATAATCACAGAAAAATTCTCATTCTATATTCCTTTGGCATCAAACAGGTTTTAGTTTCAGGTAGCAGAAACCACTCTATCTAGTTTTTGGGGAAAGTGATCAAATGCAGGAACTAATGCTTCACAAAATGCTGGGGTATTTCCTTTGGGTTTGGAAATAAGACAAAGATTCTCTATTTTACCATGACTGTTGTTTAACATAGGATTGGAAGTCCTGACCAATGCTATAAGATAAGAAAAAGAAATAGGCTCTGCACAGTGGCTGACACTTGTAATCCCAGCACTTTGGGAAGCTAAAGAGGGCAGATTGCTTAAGTCTAGGAGTTCCACACCAGTCTGGGCAACATGGCAAAATCCCATCTCTACTAAAAATACAGAAAATTAACCAGCATGGTGGCACATTCTTGTAGTCCCAGCCACTTGGGAGACTGAGGTGGGAGGATCACTTGATCCCAGAAGGTCAAGGCTACAGTGAGCTGTGATCACTCCACTGCACTCTAGTCTGGGCAACAGAGAGAGACCCTGTCTCAAAAAACAAAAGAAAAAGAAATAAGGACTGTAAGAATTGTAAGGGAAGAAATAGAACTATTATTATTTGTAGATTACATAATCACCTACTTGAAAGTAAAACAATAGAACCAAGAGATGTACCATTAGGATACTCAACAGTGTTGCCTGATACAAGCTAAATAATAATATTTAATAGCAATGAAAACTATGAATTTGAATCAAAGAGAAGATAGCACTCACAATAGCAAGAAAAGCTATGCAGCATTTAATAAAGAAATATGTTAACCAAGAGTACACAAGACCTCTATGGAGAAAACATTCAAACTCTAATAAAAGATCTAGAAAATATGTTGGATATATGAATACATATTCTAGGCTCCTGGATAAGGTGAACTTATAAGGATATAAATTCTCTCCAAATTAATCAATAAATTCAAAGTTTAGTAGAACTTTTAAAAATAAATGACATAAACTTTTTTATATCTTAAAGGGACATCTTTGATTTCTGGCAATACAGCAGGCTAAATAATTCAGAACAAAACAGCCTAATATAAACAACAAAAGATAATAGATAAAATATTTTTGAAAGCATCAAATATCTCACAAGATAATATGGAATCAGCAAATCATAATTTAAAGGAAACCAGAAATCCAGAAAGGTAAGCCAGATGAATTTGCTCTTGCCCTGAGGGCATCTTAACTGATTGATCTTGTGCTTTGGGTATTAATGTCTCAGAGGGCAAGGGGAACAGAAGCCAAATCCCAATTCATCCTAAAGTGAGGAGTCTAATAAGGGACCAATGCCTATAAAACCAAAACCCTCTGACCCCAAAGGGCTCAATATTCATCTAAGGTTGAAGTAAATATAAACCCGTTCAATATTTCCACTCCCAGAAACCTAAAATGAAAATTGTCTTGGGACTGATAAAAGTAGAAGAAATAAAGTTAATATTGCTGATTAGTTTAATATTGCTGAAATAAATTCAAGATTGTTGATGATATCCATCTGCTTATCATCACTCAGATTTTGAGTCAAATTCTCACTAATTGAATGGAAAAAAAAAAACTCAAGCTATAAATTTAGTATAAAGTCATACCATATTTGTAGTATATTTACTCACCTGGCAGAAACAAACACATATCCTCTCTGGATTTTATCCTAGATCTTAAGAAACCTAACAAATAATTATCTAAGCAATGAGCAACAAATCACAGTAAATAAATAAATAAATAAATAAGTAACCAAAGAAATAGAGCAGGAGAAACAAAAGCCAGCAGAAACAAGTGATGGCAGAAACAGACTTGCAGAGACCCCAAATACAGAAATGATCAAATAGAGGCTCAATAACTATACCTACAGAGTATAAAGAAATAAAAGACAATTTTAAACCCAGGATACAGTAAATTGTATTAAAAAATTGCAGCAGATTTGAAAAATATAAAATTGAACTTTTAGAAATGAAAATCTAGTAATTGAAATTTAAAACTTAATGAGTAGCCAGGAAACATTTTATTATTGAGGTACAGCAGCTTAAAAATTGTTCAAATATACATTTGTAAAGGCTCTCACAATCTGAGGGTAACATTTTCCACTTTTTAATTTCAAAGCACACCAAAAGTGTTACTCCATTGGAAAGGCTATGAGGATGATTTCTAATCTTCAGGACTCAAATGCCTTGGGATAGTTACTCAAAGCCTTTTTTTTTTTTTTTTTTTGAGACAGGATTTCTCTCTTTCACCCAGGCTGGAGTGCAATGGTGTGATCATGGCTCACTGCAGCCTTGACCTCCTGGGCTTAAGCAATCCCCGCACCTGAGTAGCTGGGACTGCAGGCGTGCACCACCACACCCAGCTTATATATATATATATATAAATAGGGTTTCCCCACATTACCCAGACTGGTCTCAAATCCCTGGGCTCAAGCAATCTACTTGCCTCAGCCTCCGAAAGTGCTGGGATTACAGGCATGAGCCACTGCACCTGGCCCCACACAAAGCCTCTAAATATACCCTCTAAAGGTGGATGACTAGTGAGGCCATGTAGGTTGCAAATAAAGACAGGCCAAAACATGCTTAGGCTCAAATAAAGTCATGGATTATGTGATGCATTTGGC